AGAGATATGAGTGTGACACTGTACATGAGGAGGGGAACTGGAGACAAGAATGAGAGATGGATGGTTGGAGGAGTGCAAGAAAGGAGTGTTGACCTGGAGGAGAAAGAAAACTAGCACAGCTAAATGATGAAAACACAGCCATGATGGATCCGCACACCCATAGGCCAAACATGTGCGCACATACATACGCACACACAGTAAATGAATGGAAGCCCACTTTTACTGCTGCAGTAAGCGATATTGGCATTTTGCCACAAGTAAAAGCTTAAAAAATACAGATGTGATATTCAGCTTCCTACCAGTAACATTACATATTTAGCTTCCTTCTGCATCAGCCCACCTTCCTGTATTCACCTTTTTTCAAATGTTCCTCCCACCTTCAAGAGACATCATCAGGGGGGGTTTTCCTAATCTTTAAACCAGGAAATCTCTCCCTAGAGACTAGCATAGTACCACTGGAGGATGCAAGTACAACAAATGTAGCAATGGCTACATTCCTATTTTGGCTGAAGTGTCCCTTTAAGCTGTAGTACAAGACATGAGTGTGTTCAGCTCTGTTTGGTTGTTTCGGGAAAGCAGTAGCCTATTTAACCTGTGCCAAGTTACAGAGCTTTTTATTGTCGTTTAACACGACCGTCTTCTCTCTAGAGCTCAGAATGATCAGTGTGTTGGGAGCTGAAACTGAACAACAGAGCAGACATGCTGAGAGCCCTCATGAGCTCTGGACAGCTAGGCACTCGGGCACCAAGCTGCACCTGCAGCGGACAATAATAAACAGCACAGCAGGTGGCATCATCTATGTGGACAGACAAAAGTTCAGCCTGAAATACATCTAGTACATCTAGTACTCATTTACACTGTATTACATCCAGGGCTCATAAATGAAAAAAAAATATCAATCAATTTGGTGAGCCATACCAACATTTTTGTTGGTTACCATTGATTAATCTAAACACTCCATCCAATTACAGGCTGGTTTCTTTTTTCTTTTTCTCAACATTCAAGATTGTATATTACCTGCAAAATCTTTTCCTCTGTTCATATTGCTTGTGTTATTGTTCGCTATCCGGTGTCACCCAGAGGAGGATGGGTTCCCCTTTTGAGTCTGGGTTCCTCTCAAGGTTTCTTCCTCTTGATCTTTTTTCAAGTTTTTTCTTGAGACTTGCTCATTGGGGCTTAGACTTTTATGTGACAACACCTGTTGTAAAACTACTATTTAAATAGACTTTAACTTGACTCTTGTGTTCCAATGGCCACATAACTTCGGGTTAGTTATGGGTGTTATGATTAAATAAGCACAAGAGTTAGTAAATTACCCCATTTGAAAATGCATAAATATGCTAGCTGGTTTCGATGTTTTCATTCATCTGTGTTCTCTCACTACAATACCCAGAATGCATTATGCAAATACATCATACAGCCATCGGGAATCCCTGTGTTGTCAACTACTGCTGACTGCTAGCCTAGCCACTGATCTATAAGCTAATAAATACAACAGGCCAATTGTTAGAATGTTACACAATATACCATAATGTACCATACCATAACATCAGCACATACAATACCACCTTTACTGCAAATCATTATATCTAGTGATCCTCACAGTAAAATTTCAAGTGCTGAATTAAACATATTCAAAATAAGTGAATAAATGCAGTGTCTGCATGGCTCGCAGGCAGAGTAAATCTCTGCATGTTGTGCTCATGTCCTTGAGGAAGTGTGAATGACCTCAGAATAATAAGGTAAGGTTACAGAGTGGCCTGTTTCCCCAGCTCTGCCTGAGGTTCAGCCCAGCCTTGGCCCACTTTTACTCTGCCTAGGACAGGAAATACAGCAGACACACCAGACACGGGGAATCACAAAGGCACAAAACAAAGGGCACATACCAGAGAAAACCCTCGCTTTTCAAAATAAAAGAGTTTGATGTAAACACTGTAAAGGTTTCAGCCATAGTCCTTAAGCCCTCATATTAAAACTAAACAGAAGAAACAGGGCAGCAAATTAGAACGAAGGTCATTTACATAAAACACTCTTAAAGGCACAGTAACAATGAGAGATAAAGAGCAGTTGGAACATGGTCATTAGGCCTGTCACGATCATGGCACTCTAGCTGACAACTAAGTACCATGTAATTAATTGCAATTAACAATTTATTTCTTAATTTAATCCTTTTTGGAAAGACAGCTGAATTGTATTGACGTACAAGCCTAAAATGGCCAAACTGGCTGATTAGCTATTTTGCTTCCTAGCTTTTGATACTTAGGAGCTCCCAACTGAAGACACAGCTTGAGCCCAGATAAACAGAAGGTGTTACAGCAACTGTCAAAAGGTGAAAGCTTTGTTGTTTTTCGTAAGAACCATTGCGTGTCTTAACAAATGAGTTTTCTGCTTTCTTTTGTATTTACCTCAACTGATGAAATGTTCATAAGTAAACAAGTAACGGAGCAGGTTCACTCTCAGTTCACATCCTGTTTGTTGTGACATAAAAACATAACGTGAAACCTAACAAATGTGCAAAATCACTGCAGTCAGCTTAAACAACTGAGATGATGTAACAACGGTCAAATAAAAATGGGGAAAAATAAAAGAAGCACAGGATGAGCACAATATGAGCCCTTTAAATGCACTAAATAGGCAAGGTAAATCCAACCTTTCTTTCCTGCTCTCTGTGCAGCACAGTGGAATACTAATTACCTGCACTAACAGAAGCTTTTGAGTGAGTTCTGGAGAAAAGGGTTCAGGGAAAGTGCAGCTGAGCTCCTGTTTCAGTGCTTTGTTACAAAATACACGCTGAATGCAGAATGTGGTGGAACAATGTCTGTCTGTATTTACAGTGTATTCATTCAGGCTGTGTTTATTAGGGGGACTGTATGTCCCTCTGTGGCCCAGCAGAGGCAGCTGTTCTGGGGGAGAATTCCCTCTCCGGCCCTTCTGTACACCTCCAGTGGAGCTACAGACACTGCATAAAGGAATATTTTCCAACCTAATCTCGATCTGTTTATGCATCATATAGTCCAGTACCACAGACAATCATTTTGACGCATATCTCTGTGCTTAGTGAAAGAACAGACTAGGTTATTTTTTTAAATATAACATTACACTATATTGTGTTAATGAAATGCTTCAAAAATACAGTTTTAAAGGAAAATAAGAATAATATATAGTACATAAGTGTTTGCTCTCTCCTCAGGTATGGGGGTGGGCTAGGTTAACATTCTGATGGGCTGATAGGCCACATTTTGGGCAGCCCAGAGATAGAGATTAGGTTGAAAATGCTGCCGTATCCCTTTAAAGGCTTGCAGCTTATGGAGGGACAGAACAGAGTGCATTTACTGTGGTGTCCTCACAAGTTAAAAAAGCAGATGACCCCTGTTTAGCCTCGAGCGGCATGAGTCAGGATAACCTTATGTAATGTCCAGCAGTGGTGGGGTTGCTATGACGATGACTGACAAGCAAGACACACTGGGTGTAGGTGTCACTTTGGGGGTGATCTCATGTGCTGGACATGTAATTCTCTTAATGAAAAAGGACAGATTGTCTTGGTGTATGCGTGCGCGTGTGCAGTAAGTGTGAATGAGTGAGACAGAAACTTCCAACTCCTAATCTCATTTCTCACAAGCTTTGGCAGCCTCAGCACTCGGCTCCCCTCTGTCCATTTAATTTTGAGTGCAAGTCTGTGGTGGCAGTGTTCATTTCTCTTCCAAACTTTTTCGAAGTGTTAGAGGAAGCAGAAAATCTACTAGTTACAGACCAGCCAGTGTGGGCATGAGGACAGCAGCCTGGATAGGCAAAAGGTACAAGACTGTGCAAAAGTTAGAGACCACCCTCCATTTATTTTATTTCCAATCAAAAAGGTCAGGAGTACAAGTTCATTTTTCAGTGGCAGGAAAAAAGTAGAAAGCATATATAACAGAAAATTATACAGAAGTTTGTGAACAACCAAATATCACATTTTTGTAGCCCTTAGTGTGTCCACCCTTTGCCTTTTTACCAGCTTCCATTCCTTTCAGGAGACTTGCTTTTAGTTTTTCTAAGAAATCTGGAGGGAGATTTTTCAACACCTCCATGGCTTAATCATGGAAGTTGGTTGCATGTTTTGCTTCTCACAATCAAAGTAATCCCAAACACATTCAATGACGTTGAGGTCTGGGCTCTGGGGTGACCAGTCCACTGTTCTGAGAACACCAGCTACTCATCCTTTCAGACTCATACTGTTGTCTTCTCACAGTGGAAGGATGGACAGAAGCACCTGTGGATTTTTTCCAGCTCTGACGCAAAAGTGGAGCTTAATCTTCTCCTACCTCTCAAAGATGAAAGCTTAAAGTGCTGTTTGTCAACTGTCATCTGATGGTGACGGTTTTGGTGTTGAATGTTTTTAGGAGTCCTATTTTCTCTATATCATCTAGAAAACACCATTTTTTTCCCTTATTTTCCTTTGACGTTCCCCTTCCTTATCCAAGTGGATTATTTTATATCTAATCACCTCAAAATTTCTTCTGAATAAATGAAACAATTGTGTTTAATGGGTGTTTTGACAGGATATTAAATAAATGAAGGGTGTCTAACTTTTGCACAGTACTGTTGGTGTTTTTAAAGGAGGTATATAAAAATCTATCTTTTAAGAGAGATTAACGTGTGGTAGGTTTGAGTGTGTTTGCGGCTGTAACACAAAGCAAGAGAAGGGAATGTGTGGTATGACAGGATACAAACTGCAGGTTTGGGGTTAAAAAAAATCCTTTCCTCTGGTTCCTGTCTAACCTTTGCTTAGGCTTTTATCACCACCGTGACTATCGGGGCAAAGCAGGCTGCAGTACAGAAGAGGCAGTGTGCTGTACCACAGCGCCCTCTGTTGGGCTTCGACCAGCACTATAGCTGGTGCTCAAGCATGAAGCTTTCTTTATATTTAAAGTACAGGTAATTTATAAGAATAAAATAAAACAAAATATCAAACTGAAATATGGACCATTATGTAGACTAATTAGGTGACTGACCACACTCACTTCATGATATAATGTTTTATTTCATGCTACGACCGACAGCATCGCACATGATCTTAAAGATAAATAACAAATCAACTGAAATGCCTTTGGAAACGAATAACAGCAAAATGCACAAAAAGAAAAAAAAAATCTGGCATGAGAAAAATACAGGACAGAAATTTCTTGTGTCACTGCACAGTTTAACAGCTTGTTTCACGTCTAGGTTCATTCATATACACTTTAATTTAGAGGTAAAACATGTTTACATTCATTATCTTTCCTCATTCCATTACACTGTAACTACAAAACAGCTTTGTGCTGTCACTTTAGGAACTGCCTAGGGGCCTGCCTGTCTAGCTGTGATAGCACTGCTACCTTGCAATTTCGGGATAATATAGTTTAAAAAACACTGCAACACAAATTGTCAGGAGAATAATGGCTGTGCTTTGGTTTTTATAAAGTTATCACATCTAAAAATGTGGCCATTAGAATATACTGTTATCCCCTGAGGCAGACACTCATCGATTTTTGCCACTGAAATCATTTTCCTCCATATGAAATGCTCTTGGTAATTACCTCAGACAGGGCAGGGGCTAATATCTCACTGAAACAGATAAGCTCCTGACAGATATGGTGAAATTGCATAGGACGATTGTTCATCTAATTTTAGGCATTGTGCGGTACAGTGATCATAATCAATGAGTAGAACATACATATATATTACTGTTCCAAAGACGATATAAATATTGATTCAAACATTTTACATGATTCAAGCCCATTAAAACAGGCTGTTTAAGGTACCCAGTGTCGAGCTTAAGCATTCATCCATCATATTCTGTAGTTTTTCACCAAGAGATCATTCAGACATTAAATCTAACCTCACTCTTTGGCTTCTTTTCCGCAACACGATTGTTATACTGTCGAGTTCTAGTGTACGAAGTTGCCATGCAGTCATGGCCATGTTTTGTACCTTCAGCATTTTCAGTAGTACCCCATCTTTCAAGTGCATGACACAAACCTAACAAATCTATCACACTTAGAGCAATTTACAGCCAATTTGGAAAAAAAAAATGACATAAAACAACTGTCCAGGCCCATTTTATAACCATTTTCACTCAGCCAAAGGCCTTATCTGAGCCTGACTGCTCTGCTTACTGCATTCATTTACAAAGAAAAGAACTGTTTTGGGTTAGGTAGAGTGTAGAACTCACACCAAGGGAAATGCACTACAGTTCAGTCTCTGATGTGGAGAGAGAGAGGGAGAGATGGATAAAAGAGAGAGAAAAAAGGATAAATTAGACACACAGAGAGAGGTAGAGACAGACAGAAAGAGAGAAGCAGCTGTCTGGACTCCCAGGAGCTCCATCCGTTCTGACTAATCTGCCAATGGAGACTGCTGCTGGCTCTCTCACTCTATCCATCCCTCCATCCCACAGCTACCAGTGCACATCTGTGGGAGAAAGATAGGAACTGACTCGCACCCAAGACAATTTCTCTGAAGATGCTTCATGTGACATCATTGTGGTGCTGTGTAACATTTTCGCTGTCCATCCTTTTCTTTCTCTCTACCCATCTCTGAATCTCTGTTGAAAGAAACTGCCGTTTTCCAGCGATTAGCAAAACAAGCCAGCCTAGCTGAGGAAAATGATGCAGTACAGTTGAATACAAAAAGTATATTAACAAGAGTTGCTGTATTGCACTCTCTCCCTCTCACACAAAATTATGGAAGCAAACAAAATTGAGATTTGCACATTTAGTATTTTGTACCATATGTAGAGATTAATGTACAATCAAGCACCAAGCTGAGAGCAGCTAAAAATCAACCATCAGCTCAAAAACAATTCCAGTATGATACACAATCATATGACACATTACCAACTTTGTCACAAGGTAACATCATAGCGATAATCTTTTGCACAGCAAATGCGGCAGCCGGAAAGACATGACATTGTACTATTTCTTCATCTGAGCCATCACTCCTTTGCTTTGATGCAGCTAGTTTTCACCCTTGTGACACTGGCAGGTCTTGCTTTGTAGTTTGGTTCGATTACGTGTCAGATACACATATACTACAGATATGTTCCAGCAGAAATGCACCAGATCATGATCCTGCTTTAAAAATGGACCTGAGGTTTGAACAGTTCAGAGCTTCAGGCCCATGGCTGATCCAAAAAATAAGTGTATAGTTTAGCTACAGGGTATGACCCGCTGAAGCAGTGCACTGGACTGACTTCCTCACCTTTAAATCACAATCATCATCTAGCTGTCTTGTCTTCTAAGCCAAAAGCAGCTCCTGAACTCTCATCTGTCAACTTGTACAATGTTCAAAATGGTGGGAGGCACACAGGCAATACCACAGACACTGGAAATGCCATCATCTTCATGTAGCAATAAAAAAAAGTCAGCAACAAAAAGTACCTGAGAAAGAGAATAAGACGAATAAGAGAGATTCAGTATAGATTAAGTAAAAGAAGTAAAAGATAAAGATATTGAGTGTTTCACTGTGACTTTCCCCAACCTTTTTTCACCCCCAAAAAAAAGAATACATTCATTTACATTATATGTACCTTCTTTTAGATCATTTCCATGACGATCTTGTTTACCAGAAATAATAGACGTTTAAAAAAAAAAAACAAACACCTCAGTAGTACATAGCAGGATTAACACCTATAACGTCTAAATTGGAGTACTGTTCCACTGAACAAGTCAACTTGTGCAAGATGTTATGATCCACAGCAGTTTGCAGGATTAAATTTCACTGAGCGATACAGCTCCAAGGCCCCATCAAACAGCATACAAGACTAAAACATTTTTGCAGTCTTCTGACAGCTGCTCTTGTCCCTTCCTCCATTTGGTGATTTTCTCATTTTTGTTTGTGCTTCTTTTTTTGGTAGCAGAGCCATGTAGCTGACAGAGGACTTGATTTGGGTCAGATGGTCTCTGTAGCAGCAGCTTAATCATATTTTGCAGAGCTGGCTTACAGATTGTAGCGTTGGCAAAACATCACTGATTACGCCCAACTTGTGTGGGGGCTATTCATTTTGAAACAGTACAGTGCAATGCACAAGGTAGGAGTGCATGCTCTCAGCTTTAACATTTAGCTTTAGCATTAGCTCTGTGGCTCTCAGCGTGACTTTGTTATCTCAGTAGAACTTATCGTCAATGCGGAAATGTGGTCTCGTGACATCATCTGGGTTGAGGAAGACCGAAATGGATTTGCCAGGGTTTTCTGTGACTAGCTGCTGCAGCCTCTGTGCTAGTCGATCATCTTGAGGTGACCCTGCTGCAGATGGCCCACGGCTGGGTGACGAAACCCCATGTCCGTTACTGGCCCCGGTAGCTTCTCGTTTCAGCTGGCAGGCCTGCCTGGTTTGCTCCAGCGCCGCACGCAAGTGTTCGGCTGGATCAGAGCGCAAATGTGCTAGTTTCCGAGCCACCAGCAGGGCGGCGCCATCGGTAAGGTGCTCTAGCATGTTATATTGAGGGAGGAAGTAGTTGGGGCAGTTTTTACCCAACACGCAGTGGGCTAGATCGTCCAGGAGGCCCAGGAGTAGGCGGGCAGGTGTCTCTTGTTCTGGGCAGCTCAGGTAGGCTGCAGGTAAGCGGTCACAGGCCCAGAAAAGCAATGTGCGGAGGTGGTAGAGGCTAAGGCCGGTACGAGGACGAGCAAGCAATCTTGACAGAACGGCCTTGGCCGCCTGGAAGGCCGCAGCCATAGGGTAGGGCACACACTTCTTCAACTGGACCTCACTCCGCGAGAAGGCCAGCCTCCACTCACGGTCTGGTCTAGAGGCAGACCCTGCAGCCGGGGAACAGCAGGGCAGCAGATAAAACCCACTGATGGCCTCCTCTTCGGTGATCTTTCCATCCCAGAAGTGATTGGTGGTCAACCAACTTTGTGCAACTGCTGGCCAGCCACGAAACGACACAACGGGTAGAAGATCGTAAAGCACACGGCTGGTACCTGCTTTGAGGATCAGAGTGGTCAAAGGCCCATTCCGTTCAATGCGATCCGGAACTGGAATCCCTCTTTGAGGATTCCGCCGAAGTTCATCCACTGCTGTTCCCACCACATTCCAGAACCAATCCGTAACCAGCAATGGCGAAAAGTAGCATCCATCCAAAGACTGTGGAGACTGCAATGATGGAATTGACCCCAGTATGGAACCGCCTTCTTCCTCTCCATCCTCATCTTCCTCACGCTGCCCATTGGCTTCATCCTCACAGCAGATACCCCATCGAGCCAGCATGGCAGGGTCGCAGAGCCGTAAGCTGAGCCAAGAGTGGCATGGCGGAGACTGGCGCATGTCCAGAGTTACAGGCTGGTTGCGGTCATGCAATTTGAGGGCAGGGACCAACAGGGTGAAATCCAGGTCAAAGTCCACGCCTCGGGCGTAGTCACCCAGGTCCTCGGGGTTCAGGTCCAGAACACCCTCCCTGGCACCACCGGACAACAGCAGGTACTCGTTTGCCACCGGAAGCCTCTTGTCCACCTTCTGTACCAGGCCTAGGAGAGGACACATTCACCGAGTCAGAAAATTACTTTATTACACACCCAAAAAAAGAGCACCCAGACTTTGACTAAAGTACGGTACATAATGTTCAATGACATTATCACTGGGTATGAATCCGACTTGGACTTTTTGTTTTAAATGTCAGCTTTCCAAAGCCCAAGGCAATGTTTCACTGAGCTATGTGTATTTTTTTATCCTTTGGAGAAGTTAAAGTAATTTTTAGTAATTCTTAACATCTCACCAAAGCTGCAGAGACATTCCATGTACAAGCAATGCAGTGGATATGTGTAAGAGACTGTTGTGTCTGTGTGCGCTTCTTTCAGACTGTAAGCTACATCCTGCAGTTTAAATCTTATAACATGATTTCACTCATCCAATTATCTGCAAACTAAGCCAGCGTGTGAACCCCCCGCCACAGTGCTGCAAACGTGGGTGTATAACTCTTCTTGTATGTGTGAATGAGTGTGAAACAGACAGCTTGAGAAGGAAAAAGAGAGAGAGAGAGAGAGCGAGAGAGAGAGACTGTGAAAAGAGAGGGGACATGCTGAGAAGAACATAACACATTTGGAAAGGATATAAGAGAAAACAAGCACTTAATGTTCTTGCTCACTGTACTATGACATATAAGAAGTTTAGAATTTTAGATGCTTTCTTATGTCTATTTCTCACAATTCTTCATTACGGTTCTGTGCACGGTTAGGGAGCTTTCACACCTACCTTATTTGGTCCGGACCTTCGGACATTTCAGTTTGGTAGAACCAAAATAGCAGGTGTGAAAGGTGCCTCGGACCATGATCAAACTAAATCATTGTTCAGTTCGTTTGCAGTGTGAAAACAATGTTCTGGATAGTTCCGACTTTTGGACAAATTACAGTAAGGCTATCATCGGCCATTAAACAACAGAAGAAGAAAACCAGGAGAACCAGAACCAGGAGAGAACTAAAAATGAGCCACAGTAGCACACAGGGAGAAGACAAGATGAAATGTTTAACTGTAATTTGGTCTAACAAAAAAAGTCAACTTGAAAAAACAATGTCAAAACTTGCAATTTTTTTCTGAGAGAATAAAAGAGAAGGGATATTCATTTTTCTCCATTCAAACAGAAAAGGATACCCACAGAACTGACAGTACACCAACGCCAGACGCTTGCTCCTCTATAAACAATCAATGTCAAGTATAGGGAGATGCAGCTCACATAGATGATGATGATGATGATGACAATATGTAGGGATGTCATTCTAAGTTCTTTAGTGCGCTCACTAAATAGCAGTCTGAAACCAAAACTAACTAGATCAAATACAATGTAACAAAAACATTAACCTTGGTTTGGACTTTCAGGTGTGAAAACACAACATTAACCTTGCCAGCGACCAGGGGTGGACACAGTAGAGAATTGAGCCAACGCAGACAGCATTTAATTTAAAGGAATAATTTGTTGAAAAATCAAATGTACAATTCATTAGTAACATGTCACTCCATCACTGTCCATTCACTCTCTTGTGCCATGACCTTCCATGTGAGGTTCCAAAGCATACAATTATTTTATACAATAAAAAAAATAATAAAATATCAAGCAGCAACTACATTAAAGACGAGTTAAAAATAATCTTAAAGGAGTAGCTGGGAGAAAAATCTAATTCACCCAATTTTCCACTTAACCTAAATGCAGCCAATCAGCCGAGACATGTTTGGTGTCCAGGTTTTGCTTCTTTAGTTTAGAATAGGAGCTGCTCCAACGGTGCTAACAAACACTAGAGGTGGTCATTAAAACCATTTCTACAAATACATGTCAAAATCTTCATATATTTGTTTTAAATTACATCGGTAGGTCACGTAAACATGTTTGGGAAAAAAATGGTAAAATGCCAGACCTTATTTAGACATTTAAGTTAATACTGGAGCTACATTCTCATCCACATAACACCCCATCTTCCGGTACTATTCTGCCTTCAAACTCTGGTAGGATGTAGTGCAGAGCCTTCTTGTAAAATGTCACTGCACAGGTAGAAAGTGTTAACACAGTCAAACCTAAGGCCTGCTTACTATAAGAGAGTTACAAGCTGTTTATTATAAAGAAATCTACTGGTAGTCTTGTATGTTATTACCAATTTCCTACTGATGCAGACACATGCAAACTGTGGCTTTGGGCAATGAACAACAAACTAGCAAAGGAGACCTTTAGAAAAGCAACACAAAATTCAAATAAGAAGCTGGTGAATAAGAAGCTAACCTCAACTCTGTGCTAGAGGGTGGGTCCAGAGAGTCACTGGTGGGTTCAGCATCCAACTGACGCATTTCTTCAAGTGTATATTCAAGTTCAAACATATACAGTTGAGAATCATTTATACAGAAAACGTTTGACTCAAATTTGTAATCAGACATCGCACAGTTTCTGTTTCTTTTCTTTTTCATTTTTATAGTTCACAGTGAATCATACTGTGATCTAAACCATGTTGACTTGTCTGAGGAACCTGAATTAAGACCTGGATGTGGTCTGAACGGGCTGAGAGTTTTGGCATGTATTTGTGAAAACGTTTTGGGTGATTATTGACTTCCAGTGTTGGTTAGCAATATTAGCCTCATGTGAATTAGATTTTTCGTCAAACTGTTCCTTAAAGATTGTTTTTAACTGATCTTTAATATAGTTGCACCTTGATATTTTATACTGTGTATATAGTGTATACTGAAAATACCATTCCCACTATATGTCCATAGAATTAACCAATCAGGTTGTATGGACCTTGAGACAGGGAAGAAGGCATCCATGACATTCTTCAGAATACAGAATACAGCAGTGTTCAGAAAACCCTTAGTCATGAATGGCCACTTAAGCAGGAGAGTTTCTTATCACACATATATCTCTCACCAGGCTGTGATATGTAAAACGTCACACATTTAATACATGCAGAGACCCCTAAAGCCTGTAAGACAAGCAAGATTAAATCAAAGTGCGAATGCTGTCTTTTGTTGTTGAGAAATTGGACGCGCACACACCCGCCTGCCAGAAATAGGCAGAGCATTCTCAAGCACTTCTGAAACTGAAAAACAAAAGATAAAAGGAGTGGAGAGGAAAGAAACTGCACAAAGGAAAAAAGAAAACGAGCGAGGGGGGGAGGCATGCAGAAGCGAGGAGGGCAGTGCAGCGAGAAGGCTCGGATTTGGGTTTGTTTTGTTTTATCTGAGAGGAATAAATTGGGTCAAATGGGGAGCAGAGGAAGAAGAAACTCTTATCTCAGTGTGATGGCTTCACACACATAGAGAAAGCAGTCAGTCCATTAGAGCAGCCTTACAGCCTCGGCCCTCCACACTCCACTTCTGCGCCTATCTGCTAGGCAAGGAGGGGAAAAAAGCACCGATGAAAAACTTTTTAATTCAACTCCTGTCAGTGCTCAGTTTTCTGGGGAGACGGCAAGAGCTGTGCGTCATCACACACACCCACACTCATACCAGCATAGATCTCTCCTGCCTACACTGCACTACTGTGACAACTGCAAATTAACTTAAACAAATTCAGCATCAACTCTTTCAAAAAAAACACCTGAATGCTAGACAAAGCAAACATGATTCTGTGATTCTGAGTTGAAAGACATCATTTAAAACTCCTCTGAGGTAATAATTAAAATGCTGGGAGTTGGTGATAATATGCAGACAAAGAGTGGGGGAGTAGGTAATATATAGGGGAAGACTTCAGAAGGTGTAATTGCTATGCAAAGCATAACATAATTAAACAGAATTCAGGTCAAAGGAGCCGGAGGAACATCTCTAACGAAGCCCCGATGTCACACTCGTCTAAAGTGGTTCCTCAAAGATGCAGGCCTTGATATTTAAACAGAGACATTCCAATTCTTTTTACAAACTTAAAGCATTTAAGAAACTGGCAAAAAAAAGCAAAAAATTGTTTTTCAGAGAGACAGAGCAATCGAGACAGACAAATGAAGATCTATGACCATTTGCACATCTTTTCTCTGTTTAACAGACAGAATCTCTATCTGTCTTAAGAAAGGCAGATTACTCTGAGAAAATGTAAATGAACAGCCTCACTAAATTCCACATTTATTCATTCAGGCCACGTATGTGGACCAACTATCGTTCTCTAGTCCAAATTAGATGAACGCCTAAAACGCAGACTCGGCTGTCATCTGTCTGATCCTTCACTCTGAGTTTTCTGTGTTGGAAAAAGAAAAAGGAGTACAGCTGAAATTCATCTTTTTGTAAGGGGCTGAGTGCAGTATTCGGTGACAGATCTAAATACATGATCTGTCAAATCTAAAGCACCTTTGGGCAGCTGTTCTTCATGCCATATGTTTGGGCATATGCTGTTCAGATACGTGATACCCAGAGCAGAGCTCATAATTATGCAAATGTAATCCCCTATGGAACAGAAACCAACAATTAAAATCATTTTACATCCGTTCATGAATTGGGGTTCATCCAACTTAATTACATTAAGTAATATGAGCTACATAAATAAATGTTGAGAGGCTGAAATGATCTGTATGGAGTACCTTGCAGTGTTCAGATCGGGGTGTCTAAACCTGATCCTGGTGAGCTACCAACCAGGAGAATTAGTTTAAACACTTCTGGCTCTCAGAGTGCTTTCCAATGGACAGCACATAGGCACGATACGGTTACAAATATGCAATCACAGATTTTATCATCATTTCCACTGCCAAGTGACATACCTGAGCACCTGTGCTGAATTTGGTTACCCTTCTTGATGGAGTACCAAGCACACCAAACCAGAAACTATGAGTTGAGCTAGAAATGCAAATCTTCACAGAAAAGGTTCATATAAAACCAAATAGCATGTAAATGCCAAATCAGAACTTGAAGCTCCTCCACTGTTGCAAGAGTTTGTGTCTATTGTTATCACTAGTGTTGACTGTCACCACCACCCCTTCTAAGGAACCCCATCTACTTTCACAAGTACCATGGAGTACCAGGAGACCAGAATGCAAAGGTGATGTTCTAGTAACTGGATATGTGAGATGAC